ATTCGACTCGAGGTAATCGAGCCAGCGGATTTGTCGTGGGTTGAGGTGGGGTTGTGCGCGGAGGTACTGTAGTGACTTGTGATCTGTCCGTACTGTCACGTCGGCGCCGGTCAAGTAACAGCGCCACACTTTGAACGCATCCACGATCGCAAGCATTTCGCGATCGTGTATCGGATAATTCTTCTCGGGCGGATGCAACTTTCGTGATTCGTATGCGATGGGTTGTAACCCGTTGCCGAAGTCTTGTAGCAGTACGACCCCAATGGCGATGTCGCTTGCGTCGGTAACCACTTCAAATGGGCGGTGTGGGTCGGCGATGCGCAGTACGGGCGGTGAACAGAGAACATTCTTTAGGGTGGAGAAGGCAGCATGCTCTTTCTCCCCCCACGTAAAAGGGACCCCCTTCCGCAGCAGATCTGTTAGCGGGGCCGTTAAACGTGCCATGTCGGGGACGAACCGGCGCACGTAATTAACAAAACCCAAAAAACTCTGTAGTTCCGTGATGTTCGTCGGGGGGTGCCACGCTTTTACCGTGTCCAATTTCTTCGGGTCGATTTCTACTCCAGCCTCCGAAATAACGTGCCCCAAAAACTCTAGCCTATCCTGAAAAAACTCTCACTTGGAACCCTTTGTCAGTAGTCTGTGTTTGTCTAGAACTGTAAACACTGCTTCTAAATCTTCTAAGTGCTGCTGCTTATCCCGGCTATAGACTAGGATGTCGTCGAGGTATATGATGACGCATTTATCTAAGAGTGGCCTAAATGCCTCGTTCATCGTCATCTGAAAAGTCGCCGGTGCGTTGGTCAGCCCGAAAGGCATCACCGTATATTCGAAAGACCCGTACCTAGTCCTAAAAGCTGTTTTGGCGCAATCCGACGGTTCGACCCTAATCTGGTGGTAACCTCCCCGTAAGTCGATTTTCGAAAAGACTCGCGCTGTTCGCAGTTGGTCTATCAGTTCGTCAGCTTGGGGGATGGGGTATCGTGATTTAACTGTAACCCTGTTCAGTGCTCGGTAGTCGATACACATGCGAAACCCGTCGTCCTTTTTCGGTGTGAACAGTATCGGTGCGGCGAATGGTGATGAGCTCGGTCGGATGAATTTTTTCTCTAACAGGTAATCTAACTGCTTCCTTAGCTCGTCGAGCTCGGGCTGTGTCAGTCTGAACTGTCGCTGTACGGTTGGCTGTGCCCCGGGCTCTAATTCTATTCGGTGATCGTGCGCCCGCTGAGGTGGCAGTCCCTCGGGTAAGTCATCGGGGAAGATTCCCGGGAATCGTTTCAACAGGTCCTGTAGTTCCGATGGTACTGCTTCCAGTAGTTTCTGAAAATCACTTGCTTTGTCCGTTTCTTCCACTATCGCGATATCCACCACGTATACGTCAGCTCCGGCGGCGACAGCTCGTTTCATCGTGATGGCGTTGACGTGGACCGTTGAAGACTCAGGCGACTGCCAGCGAGGTAGTTCTACCCAGTTACCGCTACTTCGCACAGTGCAGCTGCCTGTCGTCCAGTCGATTCGCGGGTTGTATTGTCGCAGCCAATCACGTCCCAGTAAAATGTCGTGCCCATCCAATGTCGTCGCGAGCATTTCCTGTTTAAAACCGAAATTTCCCCCACAACGGACTTTTACTCTTTCCACTTTCTCCCGTATGGCCAGCGGCGTTCCGTCAACTAAACGTGCATTGATCTCCGGTAAACACCTACTAAGTGTCAGTTATAACTTCCTTGCAGTCGCGGTATTAACTAAGCTGTGACTTGCTCCTCCGTCTATAAAAATCTTCACTGTTGCTCCCTGTATTTTCCCGTGAATCGGTACTGGGGAATCCGTCGCTGTACCCTCCTTATTCGTCCGAGCCCGATCGATGGCGTGAATCGGTACTGTGACTCGGTGAGGGTCGGTGAAGTTGGGCGAGCAGGCAGTCTCGTCAGTAGTTGGCCCAACTTCTACTGACTGCTGGCGTTTCCCGGCCTCTGAGACTCTCGCCCTTGCTCTGTTCCACGGCGCCTTAGCTCCTCTGGACATTCACTTTTGCGATGGCCCGGCCTATTGCAAGCAAAGCAGCGCCCCTTAAATGGCGCGGCAGCTGCATTCGTCGCAACGGCGTGTACGGTGGCGCACTCGGTCGGCCCCCGAGGACGTTGTCCATAGTAGGACCCCGGTCTCGGTCGCCGTAGGATGTCGATTTTCTCGACGAGCGCGAGGATCTCGTTGAAATTCGAGAGCCCGCGTAGCATAATCTCGTGCGATATGTATGACTTTAGCCCTCCGACGTAGCGGTCCACCTGCTCCGCCTCGTGCATATAGCCGACTTGTTCGCATAGTGCGAGAAAACCGCTAGTGTAATCTTGAACCGACCCGAGCTGCCGCCAAGTGCGCAGCTTCTGACGCGCCGAAATCGAAGCCGCGATTGGCTCGAAACGCGCTCGAAGCCCTGCGCACCACGCATCCCACGTGCTGTACTGGGCTGTCTCGCAGAATGAGCTCCAGGTGACGGCTGGGCCCGTGGGCCCGTCTTCTTGCGACGGTGGCTCGTAGGCGCGTGGCGATGTCACGATGACTCGCCACCAGTCCATGGCAGGGCCCCTCAGCAGCGAAACAGCGTAGCGAATCTTCGCTGCGTCCGACTCGACGTAATTGGCGTCGAAAAACACGTTCATCGTGAAGACCCACGACTGAACCGTCGGACCCCCACGTTGGCTCGGGTCGAAACATGGCGGACGCTGTGGCTTGAGTGGCATAGGTGCCATGACGGCCTGTTCGCCACTTGTCGCCGCAAATTCCACGTGCCGACGGGACTCGTGGGGCTCCCGTGGGCTTGGTGCGGTCCTGTTCCTTTCCATGCCAGGCATCGAGTGAGCGGCACCTTCACTGGCTGCGCCTGAGCGTTGTCCCACGCTGTCATTCTGTGTCGGTGTGCCGGAGGAGATGACAATCGGCTCCTCCGAATGTGTAGGTGCATGTGTTGGTGCTGGTGTGTTCACCGTCGATTGTTGGCGGGCGGAGTCGCGTTCCGCTGTGAGTGTGGCGATTACAAGCGCCGATTCTTCAAGTTGGTGCATGAGTCGATCTAATTGCTCCTGCGTCAGTGTCGCGACGTTGAGTTCTGCCATGGCGGGGGTGTCGGGCAAGCTCAGCGAGAGCCTCTGTCGTGGCCGTGCGTGCTTACGAGAGAGCATTACGAGCGACGGTGCTTGATCGCTGAGAGACGTATACCCCCCCCCCCCCCCAAAAATTGATAGTGGGCAAGCGAAGGTGTGGGTGCGGTCCGAGAGAAGATCGTAGGCTCTGATAACCAAGTGTTACGAGTGCAATTGAGTGAGCGAGCGAGGATTGCACTATCGAGACAAGAATACAATGAGCGAAGGAATGAGCGAAGAATATATAGCGAAACTATGCTGGTAACGGTAACGTGGGAAAATGGGGTGCGCGACGGGCCTGATGCCGAGGTTTGGGGAACTGTCGAGGCGGAGGTCCGGAGCGCGGGTTACCAACCGAACCGTGTGGTTGGGTCGCATCGTGAACAGTGGCGGGAATGGTGTTGGGGAGAATGTCGCGAGTGGTAACGGGATATTGTGGGGTGCTGTCAGTGTTGTACGCGCTGAGCAGGGACGAGAAGTAAGGAAAAGGAATTTTCCTTACAACATGACAGCGGTTTATGCATACGATACATGTTTCACCTGATTCAACTCCCAACAAACCAATGGTGAGGCGACCAGCCGCACCGCAGGATCGCCCCACCCACTCACCTCACACGAGTCATGACGACTGCGACCAACCAGCCCATCTCATCTCAACTCTTGTTTCCCTCAGCAGTTCTTTCCGTTGGCAGCAGCAGCACCACCAGTGGCACCTCGATAAATGTTTACACGCCAGCAGGGCTTGTGATAAGAGCTGATCACGAACTGTACTCATGTGAAGTCCATCAATTTATGATCACGATAGTTGGCCGATCGGCGTAGATTTGCACGTAAGCACTGCCTTCCCGCACCGCGCCTTGCCAAACAATGTGAATTTCTCGCACACGCGCGCTTCCGGTTCGGAGCGTTACCAAGGGGCGGTGTCCCTTACGAACGGGAAACGGCGGGTCATGCAGGAATGACTTCCAAGTATGGATAGCGTCCTGGCGTATCATGTGACTCGAAGCGCTAGTGTTTTTCAAGTTCTCAATGCGCATCTTTAGTTCGAATTGCTCGATCCGATCCGTCCACTGAATTGAACCATCCACTTGCGGGATTGCATTCGCCACTGTCTTTCTCGTTACAGGAACTTTCACCTCGGGAACCTCGTTACCGCCACGCACTCTCATGGAAATTTCAGGCGCCTCAAGAACCACTCTTACGGCGTTTTCAGCGGCATAAGATAACACTCTCACGGCTTTTTCGACCGCATCGAAGGCCACTCTAATGGCGAGCCCCGCATCTCTCCGCTTCGTCTCCACCTCTCTTCGCCCGCTCATTCCTGTCCTCCTCTCCCTCACCCTACTCAATGTCGCTCAATCCTTCTCCCCCTCCTCCCCCTCCTCTCACGCCTCCTCCTTTCCTCCTAAAGCCTCTTCTCGCCGCTTTTTAGCCAACGAGGCGCTTCTAGACCACGTGCCGGGTCATAAGAATATCCGCTCCTTAAACCGCGCGATCCGGCGGAAGCAGCTCGCGGAGCTCAGCCTCAGCTTCTTCCCGCAAAAAGGGGGAGGCGGCGCGATATTCGGTCCCGAAGCGAAGGAGGAGGAGCTGCTAGGAGGGTGGGTGGGAGGCAGGAGACTGAAACCCAGGCACCTGGCGTGTAGAGGAGGGGACTGCCCTAATATGGAAATGTGTGGGCTGGGCATAGAAGCATGCTGGAACCCCGGGTTAGTGGATCCAGGGTTAGGAGGGCCCGGGGGAGACGGGGGAGGGGGGAGAGAGGGCAGGGAAGCTAGAGAGGTTGAACCGAGTGGGGGGGATAGTGAGCGCGGTATAGTTTGCCCGGTGTTGCACAAAGGGAAAGTGGTACTTAACGACATGTTTCCAGCTAATTGCACTGTGGAGCCTGAGGAAGAAGAAGAGGATGAGTTTCAGCAAGATGCTCCTGGTGGAGGAGGGGGAGGGGGAGGGGGAGCGTCAGGGTTCGGAATGGGAGGGGGCGCGGGGGGGATGGAGTTGGGGGAGGAGGAGGCGTCTGCGGGAATGGTGGGGGCGGAGCAGGTGTTACCCGGGGTGGGCGGGTGGGCGGGGCAGGTGTTTGTGCTGCATAATGTGTTCGTGGACCCGTGGGGGTTGGTGTTCAATGCCTCGCATGTGTTCCGCGCTGGGGGGTGCCGCCCCCACTTGCGCCGCCAGAAGGTGCGCGAAGGGGGAAGGGGGAGAGAGGGGGAATGGCGAGGAGAGTGAGGGGGGGAGAGAGGGGGAATGGCGAGGAGAGTGAGAGGGGGAGAGAGGGGGAATGGGGAGGAGAGTAGGAGAGGGAGAGAAGGGGAGAGAGGGAGGGGAAGGAGGGGAAAATGGAAGGGGAGGAGTGAGATGGAATTCGGGGGAGAAGATGAAGTGGGATAGAGAGATGGAATGGAAATGGAGAGGGCTTTGGTGGGTGGGAAGTGTTGAAAGGAGGGGAGGATGTGAAGCGGGGGGGAAAGGAGGGGTGGGGTTTGAGGTGTGAATGGCGGGCAGTTTCTCACGGTCCCACCCTGGCTTTCTCTCCGCCCGCATTCTTTCTCCCCGCCCTCGTTCTCTCTTCCCGACCTCATTCTCTCTCTCCACCTCATGCTCTCTCCGCCCCCCCTCTCTCCCTTTCCACCCTATGAGGCTGTGTACCTCATCAAAGTCAGTGAGACATGTTAATAAGTCTGTCAATCCTGAGAGAAGCTGGTCGTGAGCCTCATCTTCCCGCCCCCCTGACTCATCATCATTCTCTCGCCCCCTCTGTTTCTTCCTCCCGCCCTCACCGCCCTCATCCCTCACTCCGTTCCCAGTTCGTGTACCACAGAGGCACGCAAGTAACCCTACACAAGCTGGTCGTGAACCTCATGGTGCCGTCCCCTCAGAGGCATCTCAAGGCGCGCCACCCGCGCTTCCACACCGTCTTCCACCGCCTCGTGCACCAACTGCCGCTCTTCCTGCCGCTCGCCCCGCTACTGCCCAAGCTCATGGAGCACGATGCTCGGTTCCTCGTGCATGAGAAGAAGGTACGGCGCTCGTATGAGGGCGGGCCAGAGTTGAAAGTTGACTCCACTTGCCATGCCGTCAGGGAAGGTCTTTGGATTCCCGCCCCACGGGTCTATTCCATCTCTCTTCCACCGCCTCATGCACCAAACCAGTTCCCTTTCTTCCCCCCGCTCGTCCCTCTGCTGTCTAATTGTGTCGAGCACGACGCTCGGTTTTGCACAAGAGAAGGCACGCCCCCTCATTTTCTCTCCTTTTCTCTTTCTCTCTTGCACACATCGTAAGGAGCATGGCACCTCGCCTTGCAGTCACCACCCCCCTGCCGTTCTCCGTTCTCCTTCCATGCCACTCTATACCTCATTCCCCTCTCTCCATCTATTCACCTCAAGCCTCACACCCCACACCCCACACCCCACCCACGCTTGACGCCCTATGCCATACCCCACCCCTCCACGCAGTACCTGCACTCGCTGGCACTGCACATCCTAGGCGGTGACCCGTCGCGCCGAGCACTGGTCCTACAGGAGGAGGCGCAGCACCTCATCTTCGTGGAGCGCCTCGTGCAGCCCTTCTTCCAGCACTGCTCCCGCCCCAGCCCCGCACTCTGGCGCTCCTTCCGCTCCTCCCACCTCCTCCCCCCTGCTGGTCTCCCTGTTTTCGACCAGAACTGGCGCAGGCGGGAAGTGGCTCCTGTGCCTGCTACTGTCGAGGAAGTAGCGGCGGCAGCAGAAGCGGGAGGGGTAGGAACAGGAGCAGCGGGAGCGGAGGCAGAGTTGGAATCCATTCCGATTCCGAAGAAGGATTGGGTGGTGATTAACGCACAGCCGCCAGGTGTGTTGGAGTTAGAACGGGCGGCCGAGCATGAAGCTGCCCTGAAAGACAATTTCTGGTTCGGGCGGATACAGGAGCACCTGGCGGGCAAGGGGTTTGAGCCCACAAGGAAACTTTTCTCCCGGGCAGCTTTACTGGTGACCACGCCGGGCGAGGCGCTCCTGAACATGATTTTCATGCCGCCCGGCGCTACAGTGTTTGAGTACCAGCCACGAGAATCAGCCACGAATTCCCACCGTGCCTTTGCTCATGTTCTCGGCCTCAAATACGCGTCTTATATCTGCAAACGAACCAGGAGAGCTCTTGACGAGGATGACCCAGTAACCCTCTACTGCCATCCCATGACAGTCCGACGTTTCTTCACACACATTGAATCAGTGGTGTTTCATAGCCCGGTGATACCTGGGGGAGGCGCTACTCGGGCCCTGCTTAACCGAGACTTTATTCCCGGTTCGCAGCTTCAGAACAGGGCCGAAGTGAGGAAGTTCAAGAGGTGGGCTGCATGTGTGGGGAGGCGAGGCACGTGGGTGGAAAACCCTACTCCCCGCAATCTGCCCTGGGATTTCCGAGGGTACAGTAATCAATGCGACGCAAGGAATCGGGCGGAGGGGCGAGGGTACCTGACCGGGAATGCTGCAGACGCCATGGCAGCAAAGGCGAAGGCAAAGGCGGATGGTACAGTCTGGAAGGTAAGTCCATCGTTGAAGTATGAATGGGTGGTGGACGAAGAGGCTTGTGGTGGCGTGGGGGGCGAGGAGGAGGGCACAGCAGCAGGAGGGAGAGGAGGAGGTGGTGGAGGTGGATTGAAGGAAGAGACGAGGAGAAGGAGGCTGGAAGCAGTAGAATCTTTCCCTAACGTCACACAGCAACAGCAACAACGACGGCAGCTCAACAAGTCAGGTCTTACACCACTGCCACAAAGCACCTCCTCTTCTTCTTCCTCCTCCTCCTCCTCCTCCTCCTCCTCCTCCTCCTCCTCCTCCTCCTCCTCCTCCTCGTCCGCCTGGCTTCCCTTCGACCCATCGGCTTTCTGTGAGCGGGTGCTGAAGAACCGGCGCATGCTGGTGGTGGGGGACTCGAAGCAGTTCCAGCTCACCTCGTCTCTGATAAACGCTCTTGCCACAGGCGTGCGCAAGCCCGCGTGGGGGCTCATTCAAGACATCGAGGCTCCTGAGGGGTGCGCTGCTGCTCTGGACAATGATCCGACTCGCTACTTGCATGACTTTTGTAGAAGGTGAGAGGTAGCTTTTGAATCGATTCAAAAGCAGGTGTCCGCAAGCCCACGTGGGGGCTCATACAAGAGATTGAGGCTCCAGAGGGGTGTGCGGCTTCTGCTCTGGACAGTGACCCATCTTGCTACCTGCACGACTTCTGTAGAAGGTGAGAGGTGGGGGATGGTGGGGCGAGGACGTGTTTTGAGTTGGCTGAAAGCACTGCCGCTGCTCTTGTTACCTTCGTGACTTTTGTAAAAGGTGAGGGAGAGAGCAGGTGGGGAGTGGGGAGGAAGGAGGGGAGCAAGGTAGAGGGGAGGGGCTTTTATTGGTGGGTGCTGGGAAAGGGTGGGTTAATCATGGATTGTTAGGATGTGTACAGTATGTGTTCTTATAAACGGTTTCTGGAATTACTCCTCCCTCGCCATCGTCCCTTGTCATCCCACTTCATTACTTCCTCTCTCCCTCCTCCCCTTCCCCCTCTTTCTTTTCTTCTCACCCTCTCTCCCTCTCCCTCTTCCTCTCCCTCTCCCACGCCCTCTTCTTCCACACTCTGCACCCCACCAGCTTCATATTCAACTCCACCCTCTGCCCCGGCTTCCGTCTAGACAACATCAAAGCAGACCAGCCGTGGATCTTTGACCCGCGCCTGGCTGAGTTAGAGTACATGCCCTGGGTTCTGCCTGTGCTCTCCCCCCCCCCCCCCCCCCCCCCCTCTTCTCAACCTCTCTCCCTTCGTCTCCCCCCCTCCTCTCCCAACCCTCTCCCCCCCTCTCAACCCCCCTCTTCCCCCCCCCTCCATCCCCCCTCCACCCCACCCTGTCCCACCAGCTTCGTATTCAACGGCACCCTCTGCCCCGGCTTCCGTCTGGACTACATCAGAGCAGACCGCCTCTGGATCTTTGACCCGCGCCCGGCCGAGTTCGAGTACATGCCCTGGGTGCAGCCCGCACTCTCCCACCTTGCAACTGCCGACATAATCCTCATCAACCGCGGCGCGCATTGGACAGTCACGGAGGATTTTCTCAGCGGCGTGCGCTCCGCTACAAGATACATCCGGCAGCACTTCCCAAACAAGCTCGTGATCTACCGCAACACTCCCCCAGGTCACATAGGCTGCGCGGGGCAGGAAGCGCCACTGGAAGAACCGCAGCTGCAGGAGATCCTGCCGTATTTCTGGAAGGAGTTGCGGGAGCAGAACGAGCTGGTGAAGGAGGTGGTGGAGGAAGCGGGAGGGGTGTATATGGATGTGGAGGGGATGTTAGCGCTGCGGTGGGATGGGCACAAGGGTGTGGTGCCAGACAAGAAGAAGCCGGATTGCTTGCACTATTGCCTGCCTGGCCCGTTGGATGTGTATCCGCAGTTCTTGTACAATCTACTCGTCCGGCTTTTGCCGCCGCCGCCCTCTAAGTGAATGAGAAGGTATTGCTGCTGGTGTTACTTCTGTGGTTGGAGGTTCTGGTGGTGGTAACCATGTGAAGGCTTCGTTTTTGGGACATGGTGTTCAAATGAAAGGGTGTATGTGTATGGTGCTTGCCATGTACGAATATTTATGCAATTGTTTCCATTTGAATTGTCCTAACGTCAACATCTTGCCTACCGTATCTGCAAGTTACAATATCATTTCAACATCCTCTCCGTTTTGGGGGAATGGCAGTGTTAGATTTGTCACTTTCACGTTCACTGGGGCACTTTTCCTTTGTCTTGTTGTGAAGGTTTAAGCTGGCTCGAACTGCCCTAAACTTGTAAGAAAGTTCTTAGGGTACAAGAAGCTACTGTTAGAAGTGGCCGGCATGGGAGCCCCACCAACCAAGTTCCAACCCAGCAGGGATGTCGCTGGGTAGGGGTGTGCCAACCACAGCCTACCACAGCCCCGTTCCTGTCAAAGGCTGCTCTGAGGACTCGAGGTGACTCACGATGAAAGGAATCTACGACGGTATATTGCTGTGCCTAAGGGTTGGGTAGATTGGACTGGGATCAGACAGCAGCTATTGAGGCAGCGAGTAACAAAACGATGGTTGCATGGAGGGTTGTGCGAGGATATGTTAACAAAGTGAGAGGGTGAGGAGGAGGCAGAGGAGGAGGCGGAGGAGGCGGAGGAGGCGGAGGAGGAGGCGGAGGAGGAGGGTGAGGAGGAGGTTAGTAGTAGTTTTCCTCTACAGGCTCGGCGCTGACAAAAGGGTAGTGAGGGGAAGAGGGGGGAGAAACAGATGAAAAGAGAGGGCGGCAGAGGAGGAATGACAAACACATGCCACTGGATAAAACAATAGTTGCACTCCTACCCAAAAGGCTGGATATATTTCTTCCCTTAAACAGAAAAAAACACTCCCCTCCCAGTTTCCTTCAGCCCACACGCTCTCTAATCTCTCACCCTCCCCCCCCTCATCTCCCCCCCACAGCACACACTCACGTCAAGTGCTGCTGTGAAACCTCCCACAGCCACCGCCGGATGCACCCTATTTGAGATGTCTCAAAAGTGGTCTTTCACCCTCCCCCTCCTCTCCCCACAGCACACACACTCACGTCAAGTGCTGCTGCGAAACCTCCCATAACCACCGCCGGATGCACCCCTTCTGATTCTCCGAGAGCCACTCGATGGCATTAGCAGCCGCCAGCAGCAGCAGCAGCTGGCTGTCAAACGCACAAGGGTCCTCGTATCGGAAGCGCTGTGCGTCGTCGTGGCAGCGCTTGACACTCTCGAAGACCAGGTTGCAGTCGGGACGCGGGTGTGTGGGAGGGCTGGTTAGCCATGTGGAGAGGAGGTGCGCGAGAGGCAGGATGCTGTAGCGGTGGTATGACTGGATGGGGCCGAGAGGTTGGACCTGGGGGTGGAGGGCATGGGTAGAGTAGAGGAGATGGAGGCAATGGCAGGAGAGGGATATGGGATCAGCACTAAAGAGGGAGGATGTTGTAGCGATGGTAGGACTGGATGGGGCGGAGAGGCTGGGCCTGGGGTTGGATGGCATGTGGAGGGGGGTGTGTGACAGGGTTTAGAGGGGAGTGAAAGGGGGAATGGGCGAGAGGGAGGGCAAGAGAAGGATGATTCTGTGGTCGGGGAAGAAGTGGGGTGAAAGCGGAAAAGAATTGCTTGTTAGATTCTCGCATGACTGTTGTTAAATGCGCCGCTGTTACAATATCCAACGATGATTGAAACATGATTAAATATTTGTTACAAGATTGCAGAAGTGTATATAACGCATTGTGCAATCACACAACGCCTTGTCAGTCGCGCCCCTCCAATCCCACACCCGCAGTCCGCACCTGCTTGGCTCGCAGTGACTCCGACACCTCCAGAAACTTCTTGGAAACAGCCAGCTTCTCCTGCAGCAATGTAGCAATCTGAGCGTCCTTCTCACTGCATTTCTGCGAGCAGCCGAGACAGAGGGCAAACACTCGACAAGCAGAATAAGCAACCACAGAAGTCCTAGAGTGAGGATACCTGGAGGACAAGACACGATGCGACAAGACGAGATAAGAAGTCATGGAAAGGCACAAGACGAGACGAGAGAAAACAGCGCCGCAAGAACTTCAGGTGATCATACCCGGAACACTTGACAGGAGGCAGCTTTTGTAACGCCTCATGGTGGCTCTCGAGTCAACTCAAAAGCAAGTTCAGCAGATCGATCGTACCCTGCACGCTTGACAGGAGGCAGCGTGTGCAGTGAAGTGGTCCCGACGCACGGCAGCGCTGCAGTGGGTGCACGCCACTCGCTGCTTGGGACACGTGGCACGGTGTGATCTGTCCTCTGACACCTCCCCCGTCCACCTGCATCCCAACGCGTGGTGCACACACCGGATCCTGGACCTGTGGGGCACACGGGTGGATGGAGAGGGGAAGGGGAGGGGGAGGGGCAGGGGTGGTGTGATGTCACCCCACATACAACGATGTGTTTGATGGGTACGTGGGGCCATGCGTATATGGGAGCACGAGTGCATGCGTGCATGGATGGCGCGCTCACCTGCCGAGCAGGCGGTACACAAAGCGGTTGTGCTCCCTGGCCAGCCGCAGGTGGGCCTCCGTTATCGGCTGCCTGTCCTGGTGTGTGGGGGGAAGTGGGGACGACGGGAAGAGGAAGAGGGGATCGGGGGAGAGGTTGGTAACAAACCAGACTCTCCCAATCCCAAGGGTCTTTCAACGCTCCTGGCGCGCTCAATGCTTTCGGCACTGCCGGCGCGGATAGTGGGCGTGGAACACATGGGACACATGCACGTGGGAAACGTGGGACATGGGGACATGGGGACATGAGGGACACATGGGATTCGATGCATGGAGGCGTGTGTGTGTTGAGGCGCCTCGAAACTGGACAGGGGCCCACTGAACGCATAGTTGGTTGGATGGATGGATGGATGGATGGATGGATGGACGGACGAAGCCGTTTTTCATTGTCAGAGATTCGAGGCGCGTCAGGGAACTTGCCTGCGGGCATTCGCTGCAGTGTTGCATGGCCTGGTTGATGCACGTCCCACAGAACACATGCCCGCACTTGGTCACCTGATACCATGCCATACCGTGCCATGTAATGCCATTCCATATCATGTCATATCATGCCATTCCATGCCACGTCATGCAATGCCAACACGAAAGACGGAAGTTTGGCCGTGCGTAGGGCGGCTTCAGCATTCTCACAATGCACTGCCATAGACTCCTCCTACCGCTCCTCCTCTCCCTTACCCAACACCAGCCCTTCTCCTCGGTCACTCCCTCCTTTCCCCCTTCCACCTCCACACACTATACGGGCTCAAACAACGCCCAAGTTTGGTCGACTGTGACTTAAGAATAGCCACACGAATACCTTACACTCCGCGGACAAGTCTCGTCAGGGTTCGACGTTCCTGAGGGTGGTCTCTGTTCACACCCCCGAGGCGTGGCCGGGGCGTTACGAGCCTCGCGTGAGTCTCCGAATTGGCCTACAAAGTCCGTGGCAAGTGGAAGCAGCGACACAGCGAGACAGCGAGACTGTAACACCTCGCTACCCACTGGTTCAAAACGAGGGTTATGTTTGAGGCGCAGCGGAGGCACTCAACCCTTACATGTAAGCCCCACAGGCGTTACAGAGACAGCGAGGCAGCGAGGCAGCGAGGCAGCGAGGCTATGCGAGACGATGCTATGAGGCTACGAGGCAGAGAGCCTGTGAGCTGCGATGCTACGCAGCAGCTGTGGGTGCTCCGTGATCCGCGGCCGCACCTCCGTGGCGTCAGCTGGGTCGATAAGGTCGTTGCAAATAGGGCAGAAGAGCTCCTCGGGGACGCGACGCGACTCGGCTAGTTTTGAGTCGACTCTCTCAAGACTTGCGTTGACTCAAAATTCACCTCGGTGGCGTCCGCGGGGTCGATAAGGTCGTTGCAAATTGGGCAGAAAAGCTCCTCGGGGACGCGACTCGGCTCCAACAACCGGTCCACCGCTATGCCCATGTCGTCCACGTCCACGCCCACTCACACGCGAGCGAGCGAACGAGCGAGCGCCGACCGTTGTTAAATTAACGCCGCCTCGTTCAATGCGGCCGCTGGTGCTGTTGTCAAGACGCCGAGGTGAAAGCCGCATGAAACATCTATGGCGCGTGCGGGTTACAGCATTGAAGGGACATGAGCCGCGATGGGTATTATTAGTATTAGGCAAACCAGGCACTGTGTTAGAGAGGTTGAATCTTTAGGTGTAAAACTGCTCCCAGCAGAACAATTGCTGTACAGTCAGCTTGAGCTCAGCAAGACCAAGTGCAGAGACACTACTAAATTCTGCTCTTGGAAGATGTGAAGAAGCAGCAGGTACGGATCATTCCAAGGTGGTGGCGGAGGGGAGAACCATCACAGCTGGTCTTGACCGTTCAAAACACAACATTCTGTTCAAAAGTTTGAACTGTACAGTACTTGTACGTGCCAACCAATCTGTTCTGACAGTTCGAAATGGTCCTCCTCTGCTGAAACTTTCATGTACTGCGAGTATTGTGGCTTGTGGAAATCTCGCAACGTGCGACGGTGTGCTTTTCGTGGGCAATCACTAAGTAGGGTATACATTTTCCGGGCAATTGAAATCGGGTATGGCGATAGGGACATTTGTGTCTGCGTTTCTAGTAATATAGGGACGCGTGACGTCAGCACATGCCGCCCCACGGGTCCTGGCACAAAGGGATTTCGGGGCAAATCCGAAAACCCTCCGAATCCCTCGGGTCACCCCGAAACAGGCGAAAAATCCCTCCGAAAAACCCTCCGAATCCCTCCGTCTCGATGTCGTATTCTTATGCGCATATATATGGGAGGACTTGTTCTACTCCACCCTCTCGCCCGAGAGCATGAAGGAGCTGAAGGACGTTGTGAGAGAAAGCTACCAAGAAGCTGAAGCTGGCAGATTGGAAGTCCTCACCGAAGCGATGGCGAGAGGGTTTCGGGGCTCGGCGGGCCCGTCGACGAGGTCGCGTCAGGAGGAGGGGGTGGCTGGTGTTCGCAGCGGGGTTGAGCGTCGAGTTCATGAGCGCTCGGTTCCTCCTTCTTCTTCGGTGGGAGGACATGTCGGCAGCCCGGTAGCATCCCCACCGTCGCGTGCCCGTCAGACCGTCGGCAAGTCCGTCGAGGACAAGGATGTCATCGTACTCGACCAATCGCCCTGTCAGCAGACCTCCGAAGCGGCACCGAAGCCTCCGCCTGATGCTTTTGCTCCGCTGCGGGACATGCTGCAGGGCCTCGGGAAAAAGGGTGGGAAAGGAGTGGTTGCGGGGGAGAAAAGTGGTGCCCCAATCGGCCAGGTCGCCCCTGCCGGGAAAGGAGCCGTGGAAAAGCGAGGTGCCCCTACCCCGTCCGGAGGCGCTGCGGGGAAAGGAGAGGGGGAGAAACGGGGTGCTCCCAGCCAGGTCGCCGTCGCTGCTGGGTTGCTATCGAAGACAAAGGCGGACTCAGCTGCGCAGCTCGGCATTGCTGGTCGTCCTGTCGAGCCTGTGGGAAAGAGGCCGTCGTCCGTTTTAGGCGATGTCTCCCTTAGCGAACCGGGTTCCCCTCCTCCTGGTCCGAGGCCAAGGTCCCCTTCTGCGTCGAAGAAAAGGCAAGCTGTGCCGAAGTCGACGAAGCGGGCTGCAGAGGCAACAGAGAGCAGTGACGTCGAGATGGCTTCTACCGTCGTTGCTGCTCGACACGAAAAGTCGAAGAAGCCCAAGGTGATCGGCTACGCCCCACCTCCTCCACCGGACGACCAAGGCAAGACGAGAGGCTGCAAAGCTCCCTTCAAAGGACCGGGCATGATGTCGCGCAAGGGGAAGCCGGTTTCCGAGCAGACCGTAGGCTCGAGGAAGCGGTTCCTGGGCACTTTTGAAACGGAGGCGGACCAGAAGTTTTGTACGGCCATCTGCTGGCGCGTATACTTCCCCGACATAGACCTCAAGGAGTACGAGGGGTTCACGGCGCAGGATGAGAAGGACTGGGAGGTCTATCTCGATGCAGCAGCGCGTATGCCCGGCGTTTGGAGCGTGGCGCAAGAACAAGGGGAATGTCGTTTCGACGAGTGAGTTCTGTCGAAGTCCCGTAGTTTGACTGTCGTAGCGGTTTTGTGCTTTCCGTCGAAGTGCTGTCGGATTTCCTGTCGAAGTCGTGCCGTCTAACTAACGCATTTGTTTCGAGTTGCAGTTTCCGGTCGCTGCTGGCGACAACAAATACGGAAGTGAGAGCCGGAACCGACTGGGGAATTGCGTTGTGCGTGGCGATTGGGAAGGTTGCGACGCTTGGCCAGAGGCACGGGAACGTGATTTATCCGGTCCCGAAGAACATGCACGGGACTGCGCACATGATGGCAGTCGCAGCAACCGTGGCAAGCTTGTGGGCGGCCTGCAGGAAGTTGTCGAGGGAAGATATTAAGAAGGATGCCCTGGCTGCCGCAAACGCAGCACTCTACGCCCCGGAGATGGCGACACGGGCTAGTGCAGCTGCCATGGCTGCGCTGCTGTCCGTACTTTTGCACGTCGGCAAGACATTCCCGGCCAAGCACTGGCCCGATCTGCTATATTCGTCGGCTGTCGAAGGCCTCGGCTCGACTGACGCCACCCTGTTGCAGATGGTGCGCGTGGCAGCACAAGTCTGTACTCAATGGTGCTGCTGTCGATTTGCTGCCCGTTTGCTGGAGGACGCGGGCTATGGGAGCCTGGCTATGCCAGAAGAAAAGAGATTGGCGAAGCTGGGTGACGAGGAGGCAACAGAGGCGGAAACAGGCTGGCAAGGGGAGTAGTATAGGTGGGCGCATTGCGTGGGGATTTTTGCATCATTCGACAGATGTGTTTGTTGTTTCGATAGGTTGATCGACAGATGTAATTTGACTTTATGTTTTCGAGAATGCTCAATTGGTTCATCTTGTCGAGATGGTGTCACAACATGCATTAGGGGAAGATGCCATGTAAACCCTGAACAGCCTACACTAGGGTCCCCCCTCGTCACGGTTGCCCGTTGAACTAGGCCGCGTCGAACTAGGCCGCGCGCCAGTTGTTGCCGTGAACTCTTTCCATTTCTCTTTGCCGAACACCTTCTCCGCCCATTCTGCGGTTCGGAGCTTGACGCGAATGAGCTCCAGAGTGATTCTGAGGCGTTGTTTGTCCTTGCGGTTTTCCTCTGCAGACTCGACTTTGCGCTTTTTCGTGAGCTGCCTCCCAGAATCCTCCTTGAGAATGATGCCCTCCGAAAGCATGTTGATCGAGTGGCCCTTCACAATTGAGTCCAGCTTTTCGATTACCGTCGACGTAGCCGCGCTGCTGGCGTCGATCCGGAAATGCTCGACGGCCTTCATGACAGCCTCCATTTTCCGCATTTTCGTCTCGATAGCTTTTGCGGTTGGTGGATTTTCTTTTGGCAGGGCCTCCTTTTCGGGGGTTACGGGGGGTGGAGTCGGTGTGAACTTGCAGAACTTGACGGCAAAGCCCCTCTTGTAAGCCTGTCGAAGACTAAGCCCGTTGTTCAGTGGTCTTGCCCCGTCCCAGTACGACCACGCCTTCCGCACGGTCTCGCAATTGCACCACGGCCACACCACCGCGTCGAAGAACGCCTGGTCGAGCTGGCTTCCCACGCTCTGTCGAGAGGGCGTGGCTTGTTGGGCTTGCTGTGGATCCGGGGTGGCTTCCTCGGTTGCCGTCTGCGGCACGCTCTTGCTCTCCCCCACATTTGCAGCTGCGCTTGTCGCCGCGGTATTCTTCAATGCGTCGAACGCTTTCTGTAGTTGCGCGAACGCCTCTGTCTTCGCCTCCAACTCAGCTTTCATCGAGCTCTTCTCCCGCTCCAATGACTTGACCTGCTTCTCGAGGTGGTTGATCTGGATTTTCTTTTTCCCTCCCTCCTCCTTGTGGAGGTTTATCTTGGCCCGAAGTTGCGTGACGAGGTGCTTGGTGTTGAGGTGAGAGGATACGTCCTGCACGCAAGAACACGTGCAGTCAGTGGGCTGGTGCAAAGTCGTTGCTTATAGTTTTGGAAGGACCATCTTACCGTCGCTCTCGACATCGTGGGGTTGGTCCGCATCTCGATTCCGTACTTGTCGAGCGTATACACGTCGAGCGCCCATTTTTGGAAATCTTCGTCCTTGCACAAACCCGACATCTGGACGTAAGGGTGACGCTCGCAGTCACAAACGCTGACCCCGTCGAAGGGGTGGTCCTCACAATGGGCATAGTACATCGCAAGATCCTCTGCGATAGGCATTCGGGCGGCTAGCAGGGCCTCCAAGAAACTCTTCGCTGCGTAGAACATATGTTCCTTGTCCTGCTCGTGTTCCACTCCTGGGCCTGAACAAAAACGAACGGGGTGACATCGATAGATGGATGGGCGAGCAAAACTTGCGTTCGACGAAGACGCCAAGTGCTCGACAGATACGGACCTCGACGAGCCACAGCTCCGCCTTAGGAAAGATGTGCTCCTCGATAGCCTTCAGGACCTTCGGGGGCACTTTGGTCTTCGATCTTCCGATGTAATAGTCGCCCGGTTCCTGCGAGAAACCCGCTTGCATCTGGATGGCCGGGCGCGGGATGCTTGTGACGTATGACCTGCGCATCTCGTTCACGTCCCATTGACCCAGCTGTGCGATGGTATCGAGGTCTAAGTTCTTGTCCGCGAGGATCTGTGCCGCGGACCGTCGAAATATGTGCGTGACTTTCGACAGGATCCACACAGCGCTATTCATCGCCCATGTCACCCATTTGTTGTGCGTCGGGTAAGGCATCTCTGTCTTCTCTTTGTCGAAGAGGGCAAAGAACAGGTATTTCTTCGACCAGGCCTCCGGGTTTGAAAAATCCAAGGGGGGCACGATATTCTCGTTGTTGTAGTAGAGCGGCACGAGGTCGAAAAGGAAGTGTAGCCAGAGGAAAACTGCTCCAAAGCCGCACTGCTGGAAGTCCATGTGTCGAGTCAGGTACAAGTGGCCGAGCTTGTTGTCTTTGACGGTTTTTTAATTGCGATAGGCGACCACGAGAACGAGGATCGACGATTCCCCCGGGCTGTTCGTGATGGGCAGAAGGACGTGAGTGAACATGTTGCAGTAGCGGATCGTACGGATGCTGATCCCTCTGCCCAGCATGTGATGTGCCATCAGAATCATCACCCTCACAGCCAAGGCCTTCCACAGCGACAGACTGGGGTACGCCATCGACGACCCGAAGTACACCTTGGCCCAGTGCGGCAGGATGTCTGAAACAAGAATGCGGAACTGCTCCTCCGTGTAGACATCGTCGAGCGAGCCACGATGTGGGTCGACGCAGCTCCTGCATAGAGTGGGCAGATACAGCAATTAATAAGTGAGAAAGTGAGTGAGAAGTTGTAGCCGACGGGGTAGAGAAGCGAACTTACTCGAACTGATAGTCGTGCAGCTGTCGCAGCTTGACCGCTAGTAGCTGCCTAGCCTCGGTGATGTCGTCCATCGGTTTTGTGAGTGGTTCGTCGAAGAGTATGGCCTCTACTTTGCACAAGCACCCTAGCGCAGTTAGGCGCGCCAGCATCATCGGTGGGGTGCATTTTTTCGGCTTCCGTCCCGCTACTCCGGTCCGCCCGGTATCCAAGGAAGCAGCCTGTTCGTCCGTTTCCGTCGACATGTACTCGACGTAAGCCCGCAACCGCCATTTCGACGTCCAAGGCCCATGCAGGTGCTCCTCGTTAAGGAGCGCCGCCCTCCACCCTTTCCCCTTATCCTTGCCGATCTCTCTCCCGACCTCGTCCTCGTTGATGACCTGCTCCTCGACCGGCACTCCCTTGTTTTTTCCGGGCGCCAGGGTTTCACAGGCCCAAGCCTTGAAATGCATGAAGTAGCACAGAGCAATGTGCTTCGTTCTGTGCTCCAGTCTGTGCTCCTGACACAAGGCCAGCATGGCCTTGTTGTCGACGTACAGAACTGGAGGAGACCGAGGTGCCTCTCCCAAGTCGGTCAGCAGGTAGGTGAGCCAGCGAAGCTCCTGTGCAGCCATGGCTCCAGCGTAGATCTCAGCCTCACAACTGGAGCTGAGAACAGAAGAAGAGCGGGTAGACCGCCAAGAAACAGAGCCGGAGCCAAGACTGAAGGTGTAACCCTGTGACGACCGCTGCGTAGCCAAGTCGTCAACCCAGGAGGCGTCAGCGTGACCAGTGAGGACAACTCGAGCCCGTCCTCCAAGCACGAGCCCCATGCCCGATGTACTGCACAAGTATCGCAACACCCTCTTCGCAGCATCCCAGTGCACCTTTCGATGCCTACCGGGAGCCACGTAGCGAGCCAGAAGGCTGAGAGGGTATGCGAGGTCAGGTCGTGTGCAAGTCATCAGGTACATGAGGCAGCCCACAAGCTCTGGATACGGGCCACTCGGCTCTACGGAATCGTCTGAAGGTGGAGCTGAGAGCGAGTGACCGGTAGGCAGAGGAGTGGACTGTGGCGAGGAGTACGTGAAGCCGAAGCGCTGAAGGACCTGCTGCACCATGTGTGACTGAGTCAAGGTAATGGTGCGCTGTGCTCTGTCCCGGGTGATCCGCAAGCCAAGATAGCTTGTCAGCTCACCCAGGTCTGTGCACGTGTGTCTCTTCTGCAGCTCGGACTTCACGTGGGCGAGTGCCTCCGTGTCAGCAGTAGCAAAGACAAGGTCGTCTACATACACAAGAACGTAGAACGGCGGCAGAGTAGCGTCAGTGCGTAGAAACAGAGAAGGGTCAGCTGTGGAAGGAGCAAAACCAAGAGCAGCAAGAGTCGTCCTGAGCGTGTCGTGCCACTCACGGGGCGCCTGGCGGAGACCGTAGACTGGCCGCCGGAGGCTCCACTGGGTACCAGCAGGAAACGACCCAGTGAAGCCAGGTGGGCGGCGCAGCCAGATCTCCTCGTGCAGGCTGCCCTGTAGGAAGGCTGTGCTGAAGTCAAGCGAGTGGAGCTCGTAGTCACGCTGAGCAGCAACGTGCAGCAGTACCCGAAGAGTGGTCATCTTCGGGGTAGGGGAGAAGGTCTGAAAGAAGTCAACTCCCTGTTGCTGACTGAAGCCACGTGCAACGTAACGCGCCTTGAAGGTAGGCGGAGAACCCGGCGGCC